TTTCTTTTCTTTCTTTTCTTTTCTTTCTTTTCTTTCTTTCCATGTAGATATCCAATTGTTCCAAAACCATTTTTGAGAAGTTAAAGACTTCGCATCGTTGTTGAATATCAGTTGATCGTATATGTGTGAATCTGTTTCTAGACTCTTCTGTTCCATTGACCTGTGTCTGTCCCTCCACCAATACCATGCTACATTGATTACTATACCTTTATAAAATCACAAAGTCAAGTAATATAAACCCTCCAACTTAGTTTTTTTCCTAAGTTGTTTTGGCTAATTTAGGTTCCTTTTGTTTCCATATGAATTTTTATAATCATCTTGTCAGTTTCTGTAAAAATGCCTGTTGGGATTTTGGTTGGGATCGTGTTGAATCTATACATAAATTTGAGGAAAATTGAAATCTTAATAATATTGAATATTCCAATTCATGAAGACCACATCTCTCTCCATTTATTAGGTCTTTAATGTCTCTCAGAAATATTTTATTATTTTGAGTATATTGATGTTATACATTTTTAACACAGATTTGTCTGAAAATATGTCATATTTTTGATGCTATTATGAAAGTATTTTGTATCAATTTCTGTTTGTTCAGTGCTAGTATGTAAAAAGCTGATTTTTTTTATATGTTGACTTTAAGTCCTATAATCATATTATACCCAATTATTAGTTCTAGTAGCTTTTTTATAGAATTCATACAATATTCTACATAAATGATTATGTCATCTACTGATGAATTCACTTTTCCTTTCTTTCTGATGTGGATGCTTTTTCTTTTTCTTTATTGCACTGGCTAAAACCTACAGTATAGAGTTGAATAGAAATGGTGAGAACAGACAACCTTGTTTTGTTCCTAATCTTAGAGGGAAAGCATTTAATCTTTTATCAGAAATTGTTTTTGTAGTAATATTAGTTGAGGGTTGATTAATTGATTCCAACTAGGCTTTCTTCTAAGAAATGAAAGAATATTATTAATATTCAAGGCAGTTAATATAAAAGGAAAGATTTGAGACCATCATTTTTCTTTGTTTTTATAACTTAATATTTTCTGAGAGGCCTGTAAAATTTGTTTTGTGGTGTTTCGTTATTGTTGTTTAGTTTTCGGATTTTTTTCACATTTGTTTCTTGGTTCCATGAGTTATTTTTCTTCTGTTCATTTGAGAGTTGTGAGTTTAAACTCCTTTCCACTTGCATATATGACATATTTTTATGGTTTGAAAAATGGATTTTTCAGAGTAGACTGAGGCTGAATAGGACATACTAGATATTTAATACTGAGGATGTTCAGTCACAATATCAACATTTTTAAATGAAAAATCTTATCTTAGTTACCATAGCATCAGCACCTCTTTAAATACCTGTAAATAATAAATTAAATTTAATTAAACCTAAATCTTAAACACTTTGATAAGTCGATCATTAGGATCTTAAGTTATGAACCCTCTTGAACTTTTCTAGTTGCTTAAATAATGACAATTGTTGAGGTACATTTTTTTCCTTCATTTTTAATATCCCTGGAACATGAGTAGAGATGGCAAGATTCTCTTTATAAACCCCCCTCACTATCCCGTTCACTGAATTCAGCAGTGTAGCCAGGAATCCTAATAGGTTTCAGCAGGAACGTTTCTGACAGCCCAATTTTTTTCTGTCCGTTGGTTTGGAAAATCCTGTTTCTCCTTATTAGAACTGAAATAACTAAAAAGTAAGAGGCTTATCTGATATATTTAGGGAGGGATAGAATTTTTTTGCATATGAGTTTCACGGTGTCTCAAAAGCATAGTCTTAGTGTATACATAAAGGTAATTGCTCAGTCACTCACCTGATTCGTTAATATAACATTTCTTTACCTGGGCATTTCCTAACAAGCTCAGTGACAGAGGTCAATTGTTTGTCAATCCTTTATGCCTGGATAATCAACTCTATAGAAAAAAGTTCATTATTTTAGGTGTCTTTTTCCTTTGATGATGATGTGGGAAAGGTTTCTGTCAGTCACCATGAAGGTATTTCTTATCCTTATTAAATTGTTGAAGTTCTTTCATAATTCGTATAACTCTGCCTAATTAGATCCCTACCTAATTATGATAAGAGAATAATAATAAAAGCCACTATAATTTAAATGCTTGAGATTAAGCTGGAAATTTAAGGTTCATTTCCTACCTTGGCTTGTATCTGACTTCTTATGAGTTGAAATACCAGTATTTGCTATGTCCATTTTTCTCCCGTTAAACTAAATGTAATGATAATACATTATATCATAAATATGAGATGTAACCTTTTAAAAATGAAGACTACTTTGCTTAAGAGCATTGATATGAAATTATTAACTCGATCATTGAGGAAAAGGAATTCTCATTCATTAACATCACAGAACTTAATATTAAGCTCCTGAGTGTGGATGGCTTGTTGTTACAGGCTCTGTTTGTTAAAGTGGTATTTTAGGATTATGTTTCTAAAAAGGAGTTCCATTTTATAAAGGTGAGAAAAAGTAAAACATAACAAAGATAATAGATGTTTAGACAATTCATAAAATTGCTATAGCATGCTAATAGATTTCTGTACTGTTAGTATATAGCATGAGTCATTACAGCCATTTTTGCAGCTGAACAGACACAAACTCTTCCATTATTTATTCATCTTTTAGTTTTCTATCCAAGCCCTAAATAAAGACATAAATATGTATAAATTTGGGATGTCAGCATACTCTTAGACTGGTGCATCTTCATGCTAGTTTCATGTTTCATTGTCGTTAGTGGAAGTTATTCCAATTTTTATCTCTTTACGTCTTTGATAAGTCAT